CAGCGCCGTTGCTGTCTCCAACAGGAACTTCGCTTGTTGGTACTCGGGTGGGAAGGAACCAACGAAGTGGGCAAGAACGAAGGGTTGTTCAGCACTGAGCCTCTTTTCGCGCAGGCGGGCATACAGCAGCTCGAGTGAGTAGAGGTGCTCGATGGGGTTGCTGTTACTGTGTGTGGGGATTGCAAAGTCGAACATGTTCCGAATCAAGGCCTGTTTTGACCCCTGTGACTCCGGATCGTAGACCTTTTCCAATTCCGCGAGGACCTCTTTAGCTGACGTACAGTTACTGGTGATTGCTTTGTCAGCTTTTTTTACCACAGCAGTAGTTATAAAATGGAACGCCTGAAGCCCTCGTTGGACTTCTGCTTTCGTGTGCCCCCTACGGAGCAGTTCGAAAGTCGGCAACTTTGGGACGCCCACGGGGATACTGCTCTCTGCATCTCCTATAAACTGCCCGTCCAAGTCGATGGTCTTCGCAGCTTGGATGAACGACTTTCGCCACGAATCCGTGGCTGCGGCTTTTTCCGTCTAGAAGCGGGGCATTGACCGTCACTCTTTTCTGGCGGCTACTGCTGTAGCCGTCGAGCTATTCTCCATTTCCTCGAATCACGGGTATCTCACCTGGGGGGTTGAACCCCCACGCTTCCCCGTAGTCTGGTCCGTTGCCCGGGCCCACTCCGGCTGGTCTCGCAGGATTCGCTCCCGATCTGCTGNCGTGGCTGCGGCTTTTTCCGTCTAGAAGCGGGGCATTGACCGTCACTCTTTTCTGGCGGCTACTGCTGTAGCCGTCGAGCTATTCTCCATTTCCTCGAATCACGGGTATCTCACCTGGGGGGTTGAACCCCCACGCTTCCCCGTAGTCTGGTCCGTTGCCCGGGCCCACTCCGGCTGGTCTCGCAGGATTCGCTCCCGATCTGCTGGCCCAGCCGCCTTCCGGCAGCTGCCGTGGTCCTTGCCCACCATCTCTCGTTTGTTGCTGGAGAAATCCCCCGCCACCGTCGAGTGGCAACGTGGGCTCTTGTTGGCCTCCCGTGGCGGCAACCCAGCCGCCACTACTGGCTGCATCCGCGACGACGCTGCCAGGCTCCTCCTTCACCGACTCCTCCACCAGGGCCGCCATTGGCGAAATCTTCCGTTACAAACTTGCAAGCTCTGCATCGCGGCCCTCCTCCACAGGCGAGCGGATCTGTTCTCCGCTCGCAGCAGTGGGCATCTCATCTCCGGCAGAGCTCATCCCGATGTGGCTTCCCTCGAGGGGCAAACTCTAGAGTGTTCGCGGCCTACGCCACTTATTTATCGGGTGAGACTGTTTTGGTGATGTTTTATCTTCACGAGAGGTCGACGACCGTCCTTCACACGGACGAAAGAGGGAGTGGCCCACATGGGCAGCTCCTTCACCAAGGAGGGGCCCCGTGACTCATCGCGGTGCCCCCTACAAAACGACAATCTTACCAATCTGCGTGACACCAAATCATACGGCACATGTATCCAACACCAATGTTCGCAGACCCACGAACACTGACTTAGCTTGCTGCTGCCGTGACATGGAGCTCGAGCTGTTTTTGCTAGCTTATACTATATGATATGGCAGTACTGTTGCATCACAACCCAACATGTAGGTTGCTGTCACGCCATTCTGCGGTGTTTCTGACACACAAAAAAAGGGAGTACGTGTTTCCTTTGCGTGTTGCTGCTGCATAGTTCACACAAACTCACTCATTGATATTCCGACGTGTGTGTGTCGCCGTTCATTCAACATCGACGGCTGCGTGTGTCTTTATTCTTACCATCACCGGGCTAGCCGGCTAGCCAACGAAATACATCATTCTCAACGCGGGTGAAAACGGCAGGTAATTCAATTTAGGCCATGATCTACGCCGTTGTCGTGGGAGAGGCTAGGCTATTCTCCGGATAAACGCAGAAATGATGACAGATGAAAGAAATGCTTTCCGAGGCTCTAATTTCTCCTCGTTCGTGTTCATTGGTCCCTTGCATCTTGTTGTGCTACCGTAGCTCGGAGGTAATCCGTCGTCGAAATCTTGTTCATGTAGCACGCCTTTACGCGGAAGAAGGCTGGCACGTCAATCCAAAATCCTCCTGTGATACGGTTCGTGTGCCGATGGTTTGAGTATCTACGATCAAGCGGTTGATGCCATTGACAAGACCACCTTACTTCGAAAAACACAGCAGTGAGGAGGATCAAGTTACATGTCGACGGGTTGAAGGTTCCCGCATAGTGGTATTCCTGTCTAGCTGCCCTCTCTTCGAGGGAAAATTTCGGTATTTAGATCGATGTGTTGATGTTCTGCTCGCTGCGGGGTTGACGATGGTGACATCTATTAGGACCGACTTGTTGGAGTGCCTCGTTTTCCATCTCCTGCAAATAAACCGGGGGGGATCACTAAATCCAGCCTGTAGAGTTTGTTTGCTCGACCAGTGCTATTGGTGAATTGAGAAAATCCTCGACTGTAGTGGACAGAGTGGCATTTGTGTATTGTTTTCAGGATGCCGCGAATCGTCCGGTCGTGAAAGAAAATTGAGGTGCTGGTCTTGGTGCTGACGATGGAGTGCAAAGGAGTCAAGCGTTGATCCTTGCATGCTGATAGTCCACCCGCATCAAAAAGTTTATCTGTGTCGTAGTCAGTCCGATGGTGACTCCCAAGTGCACGACCAATTGAGACCCCCGATACAGGTCGGGTGGTATTCTATTGCACGCCCAAAGTCCTTGCGCCGTCAGCCGCGACAAAAGCCGCCTTGTCTTTAGCTTCGATGAACAAGTCATCAGTGTTTTTCTGTCCTGATGTTCCCTTCGACGAGATTGGCTGCACATCATTCTCCACCGCACGATACTGCCGCATGATATCGCTTCGACATGACGGATTGAACTCCAAAGGCTTGTGAATGGATGTCGTCGCTATCGTTGTCTCTTGCTGCCTTCTTCGCCTCCATGAGGCAAACTCTCTTGAGCTTTGGAGTCAAAGAATCACATGTGGCCAGTTTGTGGCTCATGACTGGTCAACAGCTTTTCAAGCTTCTCTTTGTTGATGGTCTCCTCTAGTTTCTTGATCGACTCAATCAGTGTCAACCTTGATGGTAGCTGGGCGACACGAAGGAGACGTTGCCCTACGTATCCTGGCGATGCCTGTCTGACTTGCAGAACACAAACGCTTGGCCTGCCACAAAGGTCCATTGCCGACCGATGGCATTGCTGGTATATGTGTGAGAGAGGGCAGGGAGGAGGGAATCGGGTCTGATTCCATTATCACATAAAGAGAGGAACTGTGTCTCGTTGGTTAACAATGGGAGAAGATGTCTATGCCCGACCCTGGAGGGTAGTTGACGTGCGCTGTATGTACTATTCGCTCATGGTTTTTCTTGGAACAAATCACTACCGTTCGACGGGTGTACCGCGATTTCCATGCGTGTTACTATTAGACTATCTGTTCTCTGGTTGCCGACAAAAGTGTTGCCACAACACCATTAATGGTCGCCGCCATATTCCTGGACACCACATTCATATCCAATCCCCGAGAAAATCAGTGTCCCTTGTCCTCCCTGGTGCGCTAGCTTATGCAGCATTGCCTACGACGTACACACCGCAATCTAACCTTCGTTGATCTCCTTAGAACAACACCTTCTTGTGCCCGACGGTGTGCATGCGAGCACGACGAAAATAAGCTGTGTCATGG